AGTAACCATAATGTTGCTCATGTAATTGTAGATTAATGATACCAAAAAAAAAATTGTATACTTGACATGGGAAAAGGTAGGAAAGTATAAGGGAGAATTGGGGATGTGATTCCAAGTGGAGTGGTCAGATGAGGACTCATTATTTTAGAGAAGGTGGTTGGATGAGGAGGGACTGTATAAAGTGCTTTGTTAGATAAGAAAAGAGCTAATTTAGGATCATAAGGCCATTTTAGCCCAGATGACATCACAAAGCTGAGGCTGAGAAAGATGGAGTATCTCCTCTTCACCTAGCCTTGAACCCAGATCTGCCTAAGGTCAGGTCCAGAGTGCAGACGACCTACCCCAACCTGATAGGCCTCTCCTTGCCTGTCTATTCTTTTCCAGTCTTCCTAGCCTCAGCTCTTGCTTTTCCTCATGCCCCTAACCCTGGTCCTTCTAAGCAGGTGAGCAACTGGGAGAATGTGCAGCTGCAAGAGTGCCTGTGGGCTGGTGAGTGGGGCCTGGGAGAGGCTGTGGCAGGGCCATAGCAGTACAGACGAACCCTGGAAGTGCCAGATCCTGGGGATGAAGGTCAGGTGTGGGTGGGGGGCAAGTGGCAACCCCCAGGAAGGTTGAGTCTCACTCAGGGTGGGCTCTTACCCCTTCCAGACTCCCTGGGTCCCCTCAAGAATGACATGCTGCTGGTAGAGACACGAGGTCCCCATGACAACAAATCGCTCTGTGCCTTAGAACCCAGCGGCTGCACCCCCTTGCCCAGCAAGGGCTCCACGGTGAGGTCTGGGGGACCCTCTTTTATATACTTTTCCAGCTTCATCTCAAATCTAGCCTCAAATTTTCACTATTTAAATTTTCCTCCTCTGTGCAAGGCCCTGTGCTGGCTTCTGGGAATGTGGGGGTGACTCAGATCAAGGTCCTGTTCTCAGTGGCCTCTCAAAAGTCTCCAGGCCCCTCCTCCCCCCACCCCCACACCATTTGGCCTGGCTGCAGTCTGGTGGGCTCCTAGGTGTGGTGCCCCTAGGTGACACCCCTCACCCCTTGGTTTGGCAGAGGGCAGCTCGCCTTGGAGAGCAGTTACTACGAGACATGCAGTTAGGCCAGTGTGTACAGGTGAGTAGGTGTCAGAAGGGTCCTACCCCAGTGCTCAGGGGCAACAGGCCTAAAACTATGTCTTCAACCTCTTCCACTTCTTCCTATGTCTGGCTCCTCCTAGGCAGGGGCCTCCTCACTGTCCCTCTAGCATCCACCAACCATTTGTGCTTATTTTCTGTCCAGCCCTGGGGAAGGTAAGAGTTGAGGAGGCTTAGTTCCAGTCCCCAAACTGCCTACTACTGGCTAGAAACCAGTAAACAGCCAACCACATTCACATGGGCTGAGCACTGCGTTCCAGGGAGAGGTTCATGTGGGCCATGTCTGGCATGGAGGAAGGCATAGTCCACCTAGTGGGAACAGCATAAGCAAAGGCAGAGCAGCTTGCAGGAAGTTGCTGGGGGAGGCAGGGTGGATATGCGTGGTTGAGGCTGCAAGTTTGGAGATCAGGCTGGCCAGAACTATGCAGACGACCTACCCCAACCTGATAGGCCTCTCCTTGCCTGTCTATTCTTTTCCAGTCTTCCTAGCCTCAGCTCTTGCTTTTCCTCATGCCCCTAACCCTGGTCCTTCTAAGCAGGTGAGCAACTGGGAGAATGTGCAGCTGCAAGAGTGCCTGTGGGCTGGTGAGTGGGGCCTGGGAGAGGCTGTGGCAGGGCCATAGCAGTACAGACGAACCCTGGAAGTGCCAGATCCTGGGGATGAAGGTCAGGTGTGGGTGGGGGGCAAGTGGCAACCCTCAGGAAGGTTGAGTCTCACTCAGGGTGGGCTCTTACCCCTTCCAGACTCCCTGGGTCCCCTCAAGAATGACATGCTGCTGGTAGAGACACGAGGTCCCCATGACAACAAATCGCTCTGTGCCTTAGAACCCAGCGGCTGCACCCCCTTGCCCAGCAAGGGCTCCACGGTGAGGTCTGGGGGACCCTCTTTTATATACTTTTCCAGCTTCATCTCAAATCTAGCCTCAAATTTTCACTATTTAAATTTTCCTCCTCTGTGCAAGGCCCTGTGCTGGCTTCTGGGAATGTGGGGGTGACTCAGATCAAGGTCCTGTTCTCAGTGGCCTCTCAAAAGTCTCCAGGCCCCTCCTCCCCCCACCCCCACACCATTTGGCCTGGCTGCAGTCTGGTGGGCTCCTAGGTGTGGTGCCCCTAGGTGACACCCCTCACCCCTTGGTTTGGCAGAGGGCAGCTCGCCTTGGAGAGCAGTTACTACGAGACATGCAGTTAGGCCAGTGTGTACAGGTGAGTAGGTGTCAGAAGGGTCCTACCCCAGTGCTCAGGGGCAACAGGCCTAAAACTATGTCTTCAACCTCTTCCACTTCTTCCTATGTCTGGCTCCTCCTAGGCAGGGGCCTCCTCACTGTCCCTCTAGCATCCACCAACCATTTGTGCTTATTTTCTGTCCAGCCCTGGGGAAGGTAAGAGTTGAGGAGGCTTAGTTCCAGTCCCCAAACTGCCTACTACTGGCTAGAAACCAGTAAACAGCCAACCACATTCACATGGGCTGAGCACTGCGTTCCAGGGAGAGGTTCATGTGGGCCATGTCTGGCATGGAGGAAGGCATAGTCCACCTAGTGGGAACAGCATAAGCAAAGGCAGAGCAGCTTGCAGGAAGTTGCTGGGGGAGGCAGGGTGGATATGCGTGGTTGAGGCTGCAAGTTTGGAGATCAGGCTGGCCAGAACTTGGGCACTGAACACCAAGCTCAGGTCTCTGGACTTGGTTTTGTCTGTCTTACAGCTGTGGGATGAGGACCCGGGAGCACTATGGGCCTGCCCCATGGACAAGTGTGAGTACCTCCCTTACTCTCTTTACCTGGAGCTGGTACTTGACAGGAACCACTCCTGGGGACAGCACACACAGTGGCCTTATCCTTCCCTGGCTCAGATCAATCTGAAGGTCATTCCTTCCTTCACTGAAAAAACCATGAGGAAAGCTTGCAGGGATCCCAACATCACCATACAGACACAATCTCTGCTTCCAACTAAGCCATAGAAGGCTAGAGAAACCTTAGCTCAACAATCACTTACATTTAATAAGTGTCAGCTAGTAAAGCATTAACTATAAGGTAAAAGTGTCCAATGCCATGAATGCATGTAACAGGAACCTGACCTAGGCGGGGTGAGGAGTTCAGGGGAAAGGTTCAAGCTGACCTCTGAAGGCTGAGCTATGTGAAGGAGGTAGAAATGCATTTTTGGTGAAGATGGTGGGGTGCTTCCTTTAGGAACCTCAAGGTGGCCAGGGTTACTGGAGGGTTTTGAGAGGCAGGCCTCTGGCACAAGATGAGGGTTCAAGGTAAGGCCCTGGGAGCCAATGTAAGGAATCTGGATTTTATCTTAAGAGTTGTAGAAGCTTCCCAAAAGGCTATAATCAAACTTGTATTTAAGAAAAGCTCCCTGGAACTGTCATGTGGTAATGAATTGGAGGCAAAAAAGAGATCAGGGACACCAGTTAGAAGACTGTTGCAGTCATCCAAGGGGGTTAAGTCAAAGGCCCAGCAATCCTAGGCTTAGGGGACAATAATATTAGCTGATCTTTGAGCATTGACTATGCCCAGCATTGTGTTAAGTGCTTAAGTGTATTAATACATGTAGTCCTCACAACCCTATGAAACTATCCCAATTTTACTGAGGTGATAACTGAGGTAGAAGGTGAAGACACTTACCCAAGTTTACCCAAGTGCATGCGGTGGATGTTGGGCAAATCACTTCACTTCTCTGGGCCTGTAAGGCCTCTAACTAGCCTGTGTTATCCTCTGGGTCTCCTAGACATCCACAAGCGCTGGGCCCTGGTGTGGCTGGCCTGCCTACTCTTTGCCGCGGTGCTTTTCCTTCTCTTCCTTATCAAAAAGGACCACGTGAAAGGTGAGCACTTCCCGGCTCCCCATTCCTCGGGGGCAGGACTGGAGTAGGCTCGGGAGTTCATCAAGAGAAGGTGGCGGCTGAGCTCACCGGCTGCATCCCTCTCCCCTAATAGGGTGGCTGAGGCTCTTGAAGGACATCCACGCAGGGGCTGAGTGTGAGTAGACGCCGGGCGGGGGGCCGCCCGCAGCGGGCCGGGCCTCGGGCCCTCTCACATCTTCCCTCCCGCTCTGTTCTCTCCGGCAGCGGCCGCCAGGAGCCGAGCGGCTCTGCTCCTCTACTCCGCCGATGACGCTAGCTTCGAGCGCTTGGTAGGCGCTCTGGCGTCGGCGCTGTGCCAGCTGCCGCTGCGCGTGGCCGTGGACCTGTGGAGCCGCCGTGAGCTGAGCGCGCTGGGGCCCCTGGCCTGGTTCCACGCGCAGCGGCGCCAGACCCTGCAGGAGGGCGGCACGGTGGTGCTGCTGTTCTCGCCCGGGGCCGTGGCGCTGTGCTGTGAGTGGATGCAGGACCGGACGTCGGCACCCGGGGCGCGCGGCCCGCACGACGCCTTCGCCGCCTCGCTCAGCTGCGTGCTGCCCGACTTCTTGCAGGGCCGGGCGCCTGGCCGCTACGTCGGGGCCTACTTCGACACACTGCTCCACCCGGATGCCGTGCCCGCCCTTTTCCGCACCGTGCCCGTCTTCTCACTGCCCTCGCAGCTGCCAGACTTCATAGGGACCCTGCAAGGGCCCGGTGCCCCCCGCTCTGGACGGCTAGCGGAGAGAGCGGAGCAAGTGTCCCGGGCACTGCAGCCCTCCCTGGACAGCTGCTTCCGGCCCCCTGCGGGTCCTGGGGACTCCAGGGACGGCACGCGGGTTGGGACCTGAGCAGGGGACAGGACTTGAATAAAGGCAGACGCTATTTTTCGACCCACGGCTCCCACTTTATCTCTGGGGAAGCTCAGCTAGCCTAACTCGGCACCCGCGGCCCTTTAACACACCCGGACAGGTGCAGCCCTGCGCTGCCTCCGGTTGGCTGGCGTTGGGTGACGCAATGGCACACGGCCCGCCGCCATTGGCCGTGTCGTGGGCTCCGCCCCTCCAGACTGCAGAGCAGGCGGAGGTTGCACGTCTTACGCAGGCGGCGGCCGCGGCGGTGTTGGGGTGACTGAGCTGTCGGCGCCCGCGGGCTGGGTCGGTAGTCTCTTCCTCCCCCGCGCCTTACGCAGATTTGCATCCTCCCCTGTCGCGTCGTGGGCTGTGCCTTTGCTGCCTGCTGGCCCCGAACCTGACCCCTCCTCTTTATATCCAGATCCGGGATCCTTCCCCCCAAGACCTCCCATCCGGCCTTTTCTCCCCAGATACTTGGAATCTGACTCACTCTCCCCAATTCCCTGGGCCCTACCCCTAATATTCACACCCTAAAACAGTGGGCTGACTCCTGTCCACTAGCCAAAGATCCAAGCCACCTGTCATGGTGACGAGGATAATTTATGCCCATACTCGAATTGCAGAATAGGCCTCCTTCCCCACCATCTCCCTTCCCCGGGCTGTACCCCAGTTTAGCTTCCTTTTCTTAAAATAACATATCTGGGCTCCCATACCCGCGGTGCCTCAAAACCGACCCTTTTCTTTCACACCTGGCTTCTCCAGTGAACCCTAGCCATGCCCTCTATCTACAGGTCCCCAGCCTGGGAGAAGATGGCCCCACAGCCCCCGAGGGGCCTGGTCCCTGCTCTGCTCTGGGGCCTGAGCTTCTTCCTCAGCCTCCCAGGCCCTGTCTGGCTCCAGCCCTCTCCACCTCCCCAGTCCTCTCCCCCCATTGAGCCGCATCCATGCCACACCTGCAGGGGACTGGTGGACAGCTTCAACAAGGTGGGTGCACCAGCAGCCTGGTGGGAAGGGGTCCAGCTGCAATAGAACAGGGGTTGAGAGTGGGGAGCTCTGGGATGGACCCAGAGCTGCACGGACCCAAGTCCCAACTTGGTTACTTACTAGTGTATGTATGGCCTTGGGCAGGCTCTCTGTGCCTCAATTACCTGGTCAGTGAAATACTGCTAGAATGCCAGACACTGTGCTTAGCTATTACTAACTTTCTCCATTTACAGGGCCTGGAGAGAACCATCCGGGACAACTTTGGAGGTGGAAACACTGCCTGGGAGGAAGAGAAGTTGTCCAAATACAAAGACAGGTAAGGGGCTGGAGGGGTTGTTTGTATACCTCACCTCCTAATCTCTGCTCTACTGGTGGGGGCCTAGACTTATTGAGGCTGGGGGAATATATGCACCCTTGAGGACCATATATTCCGCAGATATCATTGAACATCTATGGTACAGTGGTAAACAAGGCAAGCAAGATCCCAACTTCAAGTAGCTTACATTCTAGTAGAGAAGACTGACGTAATAAATAAATGATATATCAGGTGAAGGACAGTAAAGCAGGGTAGACTATAGAATGGTGGGAAGCGTGGTGCTCAAGGTGTAACATTTGAACAGAGACCTGAAGTGAAGAAGCAGACTAGGTGACAGTGGGGAAGGAATTTAGACAGAATGGGACTGTGTATTTGAGAAGTAGCTGGATTTGGAGTGAGCAGAAAGGAGAGTGGTAGAAGGTGACAGCAAAGGGCCTTGAAGGTCACAGAAAGGAGTTTAGATTTCTTTCTGAGTGTAATGGGAAACCATTGGAAGGTTGGGAGCAGAGAAGTAATGTGGTCTTATTTATACCTTTAAAAGATACACTGTTGTGTAGCAAGCAGACTATACTGGGTGAAGTGGAGGAAGCAGGGAGACCAGTTAGGAGGCTACTGCACAGTCTAGGCATGACAGCAGCATGAGCTGGTATGGTATCCAGTGGTGGACATGGTGAGAAGGGTCAGATTCGGGGTATATTTTGCAGATAGACCAATAGGACTCAATGATGGATTCATTATGTGGTATGAGAGAAAAAGTAGAATAAAAGGTACTTGGTAGGATTGGGGTCTAAGCAACCAGGTGAATACTAGGGCTATTTTTGAGATGGGTAAAACTGGGGAAGGAGAAGGCTTAGAGGAGGTATGGAATCAGGTGTTCTCTTTGAGCATGTTGGGCTGAGATGTCCATTCACAGCTAAGCAGAGTTAGACTTAGGAGTCTGGAGTTCAGGGGAGAAGTAGAAGCTGGAAACATGAATTTGTAAGTCATCAGTGTATAAAACCATGGGATGAGATGAGATTGTATTGAGAGGAGAGGCCTGAGTCCTAGGCCCTGCAGCTTCTCAAACTCAAATTGAGGAAAGGGAATCAACAAAGACTTGGAGTTAGACAGACTTGGTTATAGTTATGACCGTTTGTATCCTGGAGAAGGTCACTTAACCTCTCTGAGTCTCAGTTTCCTCATCTGTAAAATGTGCATATTAATACCTCCTTGGCCTGTTTCATAGGATTGTGGTAAGGATTAAACTATGATGTCCATGGGAAATAAAAGGCTTTGTTATTATGTAACACTGGTCATTTTCCTTTCCCTCAGTAGGCCTTAGTTTCCTCATTTGGGAATGAAGGGATTGGCCAAGGTAATCCTAAGGGTACTTCCATGTCTATAATGGCTCCTATTTTTTTTAAAATCACCTCCTCTTATGTGCCAGGCAATGTGTCAGACCCTTCAAATACATAATATAATATACTATACGCATATTTAAAATTTTTTCTTATTGTAGTAGAATACACACATAACATAAAATTTACCATTAGAGATGTTTAGTGCCTTCACAATGTTGTGCAAGCGTTACCACCATCTAGTTGCAGACCATTTTTATTATCCCAGAAAGAAACTCCATATCCATTAAGCAGTCACTCTGCATTCTCCCTTTCCCCCAGCCACTAGTACGCCTTTATGTCTCTGGATTTGCTGATTCCATTGGAACCCTTTTGTGTCTGGCTTCTTTCACTGATCATGTTTTCAAGGTTCATCCATGTTGTAGCATGAATCAGTACTTCAGTCATTTTTAAGGCTTAATAATATACTCTAGTATGTATTGGCCACATTTTGTTTATCCATTCATCAGCTGATGGATAGTCAGGCTGTTTCTACCTTTTGGCTATCATGTATATTTCTGTGAACATTTGTGCCCAAGTTTCCGTGTGAACACCTGCTTTTCCATTCTTTTGGGTATATACCTGGGAGTGGAATTACTGAGTGATATGGTGATGCTTAACTTATTGAGGAACCGCCAGACTGTTTTTCACAGTCTGCACCATTTTTCAATCCCACCTGCTATGTAGGAGGATTCCAATTTCTTCACGTCCTTGCCAACACTTGTTATACATTTTTATTCACATCTATCCTGCAAGGGTATATTATATTCCACTGTGCAGATGAAGGAACTGAGGTATCTTACAGCACACTCACAGTGGAGGGATGGGGAAGGTATTGTCCCTATTTTACGGATAAGAAAACAGGTTCAAGAGAGGTTAAGTGACTTGCCCAAGGTCACAATTAGATTTGAACCCAGGTCTGGGTGATTGCCCAAACCAGTACCCCTTCCATTACACCCTGTGGCCTTTCCTTTGACACTGTCATGGCATGAGGAGGGGTGGGAGAGGAGACCTTCAGGAGGGTGATGGGTGGGATGGCATGTGTTCCGGCCGCCCCTGCCCTGTCTTGTCAGTGAGACCCGCCTGGTAGAGGTGCTCGAGAACGTGTGCAGCAAGTCGGACTTCGAGTGCCACCGTCTGCTGGAGCTGAGTGAGGAGCTGGTGGAGAGCTGGTGGTTTCACAAGTGAGTGGTGTGGTGGCAGGGAGGGCCACAGGCAGGGCCTGGCGGTAGGCTGGGGGCGGTGCATGCCTGTCCTGGTTTGGCTCCTCCTTCCAATCCCGGATCTGCTGAAGACAGGGGACCCAAGCTCTCACTCTTGAGCCTCGCTTTACCCTTCTGCCAAATGGGGAGCAAGTATGGATCAGGTGGTCTTAGAGATCTTATGCCCAAGATGGGGTGCACCACAGATCCTGTGGGAGTCTGGGGGTGGCGGGCAGCACCTCTGATACTGTCTCAGTGCCCTTCACTGTCACCCCCACCTCAGGCAGCAGGAAGCCCCAGACCTCTTCCAGTGGCTCTGTTCAGATGCCCTGAAGCTCTGCTGCCCCTCAGGCACCTTCGGGCCTTCCTGCCTTCGTGAGTTTTTCAAGTTCCTCTTGGGAGATGGTAAGGGGACTGCTAAGGCCAAGGACCTAGTCCTGGCTCTGCCCCTAGCTGGCTGTGTGAACTCAGGCCGTTCAGACACCTTCTCTGGGCCTCAGTTCTCGCCTGCCTCAGAGGGTTGGTGAGATGAACAAATCAATGGGAAACAGCTCTGAAAAAAATACGGGGCTAGCCTGGGGCAAATGTGGCTGTGATTTTTATCATATATTTGAGAAATATCCCTTTCCCCATTTCCCATGCCTGGATCAGACCAGGCCCCATCCCCTGGACTAAGGTGACCTCCTAGGGATGGGCAGGTGCTGCCCTGAAGCCCCATTGTCACCATCTTTTTCTACACACAGTCCTGAGTCAGGAGATGAACTTAACACCAGCCCCTTTTAGAAAAATCTCTCTGGAAGCTGCACATAAGGAGTTAGCGACAAAGATGGTCAATTCAGTCTTTATAAAAGAAAAGATTTGTAAATAATCTAACTGTTCCACAATGGGGTATTGGTTAAGTAAATTTCACACAGTTTTATGACAAAACATTGTTGCCATTAAAATGGTTTCTTCTCTCACAATGTTTAATGATATGGAGAAAATATTCTGTATATACAAGATTGTATTTATGCTCTCACCCAATCTGGTATCTGCCCACAGCCTGTCCTGGGGGTGCAGAGAAGCCCTGTAGTGGCTACGGGCGGTGTGAAGGCGAAGGGACTCGAGGGGGCAGTGGGCATTGTGACTGCCAAGCCGGCTATGGGGGTGAGGCCTGTGGCCAGTGCGGCCTGGGCTACTTTGAGGCGGAGCGCAACGCCAGCCATCTGGTATGTTCGGGTAGGTAGCCAAGAGGTGCGGTGCTGGGTGGGGCAGATGGGGTGCCTGCCTGCCCATCCTTATACTTCTCCCATTCCCCCCAGCTTGTTTTGGCCCCTGTGCCCGCTGCTCAGGACCTGAGGAATCGAACTGTTTACAGTGCAAGAAGGGCTGGGCTCTGCACCACCTCAAGTGTGTAGGTGAGTGGGGCCCTGCCCTAGGACCAGGGAGGTGAACAGGGGCCTAGGCTTGGTTGCCCATCAACACACACTTTTCTGGGCAAGACCAACAAATCCCCATCTTCATGAAGATATCAGGCTGGTTGGAAAGGCAGAAAGGTAACCAGGCACTTACAGTAGAGACTGATCTTTCTATAGGGAGAGTTGTCCCTGATCCAGCTTGGTGGTGGTGGTCAATCAGGAGACTTCTTGGAGGAGGTTTCACGTAGGCCAAGTGTTGAAAATGGAGGAAGGGTAAGCCAGAGGAATAAGGAAACTGAACTTGGGGTCAGGAAGTGTTGGTTCGAGACTTGGTTTGTCCCTTGCCTAGCTATTTATATAGATGAGGGTAAGGGTTACACTGCTGTAACAAAAAGATCCCCAAAGACTGCCTTACAGAATATAGAGGTTTATTTTTATCTCATACCACAGTCTCAAAGCAAGTGGTCAAGGTTTCCAGGGAAGCTGCAGACCCAGACTCATTCAAAGACCCAGATTCCTGTTGTACTATGCAGTCATCCCCTTGGGTGCTCTCTTTGTGGCTCAGGCTGGGTCATGGTCACCTCCATGATCTGTGGCCCCAGCACTCAGGAAGGGAGAAAGGGAGGAAAGTGCATGGACGAGTCCAAGTCCGTTGTTTTAAGGCCAGGCTGAACGTGGAGCACATCACTTCTGTTTACATCTTCTTGGCCAGATCTCAATCACAAGGCTACACTTCCAAGCTGCAAGGCAGACTGGAAAACATAGTCTGTAGCTGGGCAGCCTAGAGTCTGACTGCACCTCTGCATCTGAGGTGGTGGACAGCCTGCAGTCTCTGCCACTCCATTTAAGCCTGGCCAAGTCCATTCTCCAAAAATGCTGGCCTCAAGCTTCCCTGTTAGTAAAATAGGGATTGAAATCCCCACCCTGGCGTCCTCTCTGCAGACATTGACGAGTGTGGCACAGAGCGAGCCAACTGTGGAGCTAACCAGTTCTGCGTGAACACGGAGGGCTCCTACGAGTGCCGAGGTAATTGTTTCCCCCTGAAGGGAGGGTGGGAGGAGCTGCTTCATGCTTGTCCCCCAAAACTTCTGCCTTCTCAGGTGCCAGAACCACTCCAAGCCTCTTCTGGAGCAGGGCTTTCTCCGCTGGGTGGAGGGCCACTCTCACCCCTGTCTCTCTCCCTTCTCCAGACTGTGCCAAGGCCTGCCTGGGCTGCATGGGGGCAGGGCCAGGCCGCTGTAAGAAGTGTAGCCTTGGCTACCAGCAGGTGGGCTCCAAGTGTCTCGGTGAGTCTCCTGTCAATGGGCACAGGCACCTTGGAGGCCTTGGCCACCATGAATTAAGAAGGGCCAGAATGTGTACAGGGCAGCGAAAGGATGGGTAGAATGTTGCCTGGGTGAGGGGAATGTCAGGATGTGCTGCATGTGGGACCCCAGCAGTCAGGGCTCCCGACCTTGGCTCTCCTCCAGATGTGGATGAGTGTGACACAGAGGTGTGTCCAGGAGAGAACGAGAAGTGTGAGAACACCGAGGGCAGTTATCACTGCATCTGCGCCGAAGGCTACAAGCAGATCGAGGGCATCTGTGTGAAGGAGCAGATCCCAGGTGAGCCCCATACTGGTCCCCCGACACCTGAGGAGGGGTGGTCCTCATCCAAAGGGAGGACAGGCAGGCCCCTTCCAGGCAGCTTCAGGTCCTGCCCCACCCCCCACTGCCACCCAGACCCCATGAGGCTGCAATGAGACCCAAACCCTACATCTGATCTCCAGGCTGGCTTTTGGTAGCCTCACACCTACCAGAGCAGAAGGAAAATCGGACTTGTGTCAAATCACTCTACCTCCCCAAACCTCTTTCCTCACCTGTCCAATGGGATCAGTCCTTGCCCCCGGCCACCAAGAGCTATTATAGGCCATGGTATGCTGAGATGAGGGACAGTCACAATGACGATGATAGCGACCACTTCCACAGCTTTGTGTGTCAGCTGCTGTTCCAAGTATGTAACACATGTGAACTTCTTTCACCCCTAGAACAAATCCAGTGCTATAGGTATTCTCATCCCCATTTGAAATAGTGGAAACTGGGATCAAAATGAAGAGGCAACTTGCGCAGAGCCACGTGGCAGGCAGGTTGCAGAGCTGAGTGTCCAGTCCAGGCAGTCTGGCTCTGGAACTGGGCTTATACACATGCTGTGTGTCCCAACGTGCCCACCATGTGGCCTTGGCCTTGGACAAACCTCCTCACCTCTGTGAGCCCCAGCTTCCCATTTATTGAGACAGGGCTAACAACTGTAGCCCTCAGAGTTGTCCTCAGCAGTAAGTGACATTGTGTGATGGCTTGTTGGGCAGGGATGAGGCAGTGAAGATGAGGAGTGGGGAGGAATGACAGGGTCCTCTGGCTCCTCAGAGTCAGCGGGCTTCTTCTCGGAGATGACAGAGGACGAGCTGGTGGTGCTGCAGCAGATGTTCTTCGGCGTCATCATCTGCGCGCTGGCCACACTGGCCGCCAAGGGCGACTTGGTCTTCACTGCCATCTTCATTGGGGCTGTCGCAGCCATGACTGGCTATTGGTTGTCAGAGCGCAGCGACCGTGTGCTGGAGGGCTTCATCAAGGGCAGATAATCCCTGCCACACTGGCAGGATCTCCACCCAGGCTGCCCCCAGAGGTCGGACCTTTCTCCTGCCTGGACTTGTGAAGCAGCTTGCTTTGTTTGGTGAGAGTGGGGTAAGCAGCCACACTCCCCAAGTCTGGGCGGTTAGGCTCCTGGGGTGAAAAGGTAGCCCTTAAGGTGGATGCCATGAGATGGCCTGGGAGACTGCACAGGCTTCACAATGTGTGTGAATTTTTAAGACAAGTGTCTCCTCGTGGTGGCTGCTAGTGAGCTTTGGCCCCTGCCCAGGATGGGGGGGTGTTGTCTCTGCAGGGGTGGCCCATCACAGTCCACTCCTGCCAGCTGCATGCTGCCAGCTCCTGTTCAATACTCACTCCTGCCCCTCAGCCACTGATTTATTTATTTATCTCAGGAAATAAAGAAAGGTCTTGGAAAATAGAGATGCATGTCTTACTGCCTGACTTCCCCCCTGTGATTTGGCCTAAGCTACTGAGAGCACTTCCCCACCCCCAGGCCTTGGGGAAGTTTTGTAAAACCCTGAGAAATTGAGGGCCACCCTGATAAAGGAGTTGTGGAGAGAGGACAGAGGAGAGGCTGCCCCTAAAGTAGTGTTACAAGAGGAATGGAGGACCCAGGCTTGGGAGTAGAACTCTCTCCGTTTAAGACTAGCTATCATTTGCTGAAAGACCCTGGACAAATGACTTCCATCCCTTAATTCCACTCTTCTATAAAATAGGCGTGATAATGCTTTCCATTCAGGCTTAATACGAGAATTAAATAAGATGAACGTGAAGAGCTGAAGATAATGCACAACAAATAGTAGATGTTCCGTAAAATATTGGTAACTGTTATTTCTAAAGCCTCCAAGGAAGGGTCCAGGGCCCTTTCCTTTGTAAGTCCTCCCCTCTCATAAGCAGGACTTGGAATTACTACTAGGAGTGAGGCCTCCTACATCTCCTCTGAAGAAGATTCTGGCATGGCCAGAGGGAGGCATGAGCCACCAAGTCCTAAGGGTTTATTTCTTTGGCACAAAGAGGACAGTCATTCTGGACAAGCAAGCCTTATTTCTCCACACTGCGGGGTCTGGAAGGGTGTTTGGGGCACTTGGGCCCCAATCTGCCTACCCAAATTCGTGTATGTCCACCCTGTGTTCCGCATAGGTCACGGCCTTTGTGTAAAATACCCGCTGAGAAAAATAGAGATATTTTAAAAAGAAAAACGGAGAGCTGGGTTCAAGCCTGGCTGTCTCCTGGAGCTGCAGTCAGGTGGAGGCCCGGGAATGCCAGTTGTTCTTTCAAATGTTCAACCGTCGCAGTTGGCCATGCTGTACAGCCGTTGGGGGCGAGTCCTGGGGTCTGTGTGATGGACCTCTCAGAGCTCGATAGTGTCACTGGAGGCGCTGCGGGAGTCCCCGGGCTTGCAGCGAGGCTGGACTTCATTCTGAGATTCCCCAGGCTGGGTAGGAGCAGGGACAGGGTCCGGGGCAGGCAGAAGCTGCACTGTGCTGGGCAGCTCGTCTAGGGGCAGACTGTCCACCGACGACAGCCCGTGCCGCCACGGGTTCCAACTGATTTTGAGAGAGCCCCGGGAGAAGCTGTCCACGGAGCTGCCGGAAGCCACGGCGTCAGGTTCTACTACGTGTTGTGGAACGGACCCGCGCACGCGCACGTCGCTGAGCGAGCGGCAGCGGCCGCGGGGGAGCAAATAGCCCGCACCGTCGAGCTCGGCGTCAGGGTGGCTGCCCCGGCGCGGCCGCACTGCGCCCCCAGGCGGTGGGGAGGCTAGGCCGCTTAGGCCGCAGCGCCGGAACACGCTGTCTCGCACCAGGTGCTCTCGGAACAGCGCGGCGTCGATGCTGCGGCTCAAGTTGATGGGTGATGGAGGCCTTAGGTCCAGCTCGCTCACTGACGGCGCCGGCCCCACGCTGCTGCGGGACAGGCCTGGACCACCCTGAGGACCGTGGCCCAGCGACGCAGCTGAGCCCCAGGCGCCTGAACTGGGGGTGGCAGGCAGCCCACACTCCGCCGGGTTGCGGATGAGGCTCTTGCTGATGTCCAAAGTGCCTGTGCCGACGCCACTAGGCCCCGCATAGCAGTTGTTGGATCGTTCGGGCACCTCGCTCTTGCTTGAGGGCGTGGGGCACGCCAGGCGCAGCAGCTTAGCCCAGCAAGCGTGCTCCGTGGGCGGCCTGGGCCGCGCGGCGGCCACAGCGGCCAGCGCCATGGTGAGCGCCCATGTTAACTCCAGCAGGCGCAGCCAGAAGTGGACGCCCCACCAGGCCCAAGAGAAGCGTCCCACGCGGCCTGGGCCCGGGTACAGCCAGAGCGCGGCCGCCAACTGCAAGCCACTAGCAAGCAGCCCTAGGGCGCCCGCCACAGCCAGCAGCCGCGGGCCAGGGTTGCTATCCCAGCCCCGCGGCCCGTCCAGCAGACGGCGACGGCACAGGCAGAGCGTACCCAGAGCCACGGCGGCGCCCCAGGCGCACGACAAGCCCTGAGCCAGGAGGTTGAACACCGGCCTCACAGACAGCAGGTCTGTAGCTAACAACCCCACACCTTGTATCAGCGCCAACGCTCCCAGCAGGAGCGGGTTCTGCAGCTGCTGTGGCAGCCCCGAGCCCAGGCCGAGGAGGGTCAGGGCCGCCAGAGCGGTTAGCAGTAAGGGGAAAGGCAGGTTGTAGAGCACTAGGCCGGCGCGTAAGCCCAGCCGTGCCTGCGAGCCGTAGGGGTCCGCGAGCATGTAGGCAGATCGCAGCCCCGACGCTACGAGCACCAGCACTCCCGCCACCAGTGCCAGTCCGGGCCCCGCAGGGGCGGCTGCCAGCGAGGCCAGTGCCAACAACGCGGGCAGCAGGAAGAGCACCCCCACCCCGTAGACGTGCAGCTCCCAGGAAAAGCTCAGCACCCGCCGCAGGGGACCCCACAGTAGGGGAGGTGTGGTGGCATTGGCTGGAGGGCTGGAGGCTGGGGCTGATGCCATGGAGCTGGCTGAGGGCTCCGGAGGGGGTGGTTGGCCCAGGGCGCGCTGCGTAGTGACCCGAATGAGGCCCCGGCGTGATGTCGAGGGGGCCTGGACTGGGGGTGCTGGGGGATGACTTTGGGGGCGCCCCGGCCACTCCTCGGCTTCATCTGCAATAATAACAATATTAAAATAGCCCTTTTAAGGGTGCTTTTGATTTTCCATCATTCTCTAGTGTGGTTGGCAAGTTATTTAACTTTTCCAAGCACGTTTGTAAAATGGAATGGTAACAGTGCCTACCTCACTGGGCTATGCTGAGGATTAAATGGTTAGTTAGCATCGTGCCCACCACCCAGTAAGTGTTAAATGGATGTGAGCTATCATTTTTATTAATAATATAGCAAAAGTTCTTGACAAGGGACTCATATGAAACTCACCTGCAGACCAACTGAATTCCTTAGGATGAGAATGGGCATTGCAATTTTTAAAAAAGCTCTTTTGGTGATTTGCAAGAGTTGGAGAAATTGCACTAACTATACCCATGTTACATTTAAGAACATTCTATCTCCAAAAGGGCAAATAACTTCTCCCAGAGTACCCAGTGAGCATTCATTTATTATCCTAAGTTGTTTGAAGGAGGTCCTGGACAATTCCTTTAAGGAGATGTTTGTCCCCACCTACTCCCCAAACCCTCATATGTAACTCACACAGGTTCTCCGTTATTTTTAGAGTACCCTCTCTCCCCAACCCCCCAGCCATGCCCTCACCTGGCTGCAGGGCCCCCACAGGGCTTTCTGTTTGGTTTGTAGCTGGCTCAGCATCCGACAGGCCTGGGATGAGAGACTTGGGGGTACCTGGGGCCTCCAGTGCCCCTCTCACCCGCTGAGGGGAGATGGGGTCTGCTCCATTCATGGCTGCTGTCTCTGAAAGAACAAGAGCAGTCATCACTTTGCGTGACCCTCCATTGGTCCCTGAAATCTAAACCCCTAAGAGGGAGGTAAGTATGGATCAGGTGGTCTTAGAGATCTTATGCCCAAGATGGGGTGCACCACAGATCCTGTGGGAGTCTGGGGGTGGCGGGCAGCACCTCTGATACTGTCTCAGTGCCCTTCACTGTCACCCCCACCTCAGGCAGCAGGAAGCCCCAGACCTCTTCCAGTGGCTCTGTTCAGATGCCCTGAAGCTCTGCTGCCCCTCAGGCACCTTCGGGCCTTCCTGCCTTCGTGAGTTTTTCAAGTTCCTCTTGGGAGATGGTAAGGGGACTGCTAAGGCCAAGGACCTAGTCCTGGCTCTGCCCCTAGCTGGCTGTGTGAACTCAGGCCGTTCAGACACCTTCTCTGGGCCTCAGTTCTCGCCTGCCTCAGAGGGTTGGTGAGATGAACAAATCAATGGGAAACAGCTCTGAAAAAAATACGGGGCTAGCCTGGGGCAAATGTGGCTGTGATTTTTATCATATATTTGAGAAATATCCCTTTCCCCATTTCCCATGCCTGGATCAGACCAGGCCCCATCCCCTGGACTAAGGTGACCTCCTAGGGATGGGCAGGTGCTGCCCTGAAGCCCCATTGTCACCATCTTTTTCTACACACAGTCCTGAGTCAGGAGATGAACTTAACACCAGCCCCTTTTAGAAAAATCTCTCTGGAAGCTGCACATAAGGAGTTAGCGACAAAGATGGTCAATTCAGTCTTTATAAAAGAAAAGATTTGTAAATAATCTAACTGTTCCACAATGGGGTATTGGTTAAGTAAATTTCACACAGTTTTATGACAAAACATTGTTGCCATTAAAATGGTTTCTTCTCTCACAATGTTTAATGATATGGAGAAAATATTCTGTATATACAAGATTGTATTTATGCTCTCACCCAATCTGGTATCTGCCCACAGCCTGTCCTGGGGGTGCAGAGAAGCCCTGTAGTGGCTACGGGCGGTGTGAAGGCGAAGGGACTCGAGGGGGCAGTGGGCATTGTGACTGCCAAGCCGGCTATGGGGGTGAGGCCTGTGGCCAGTGCGGCCTGGGCTACTTTGAGGCGGAGCGCAACGCCAGCCATCTGGTATGTTCGGGTAGGTAGCCAAGAGGTGCGGTGCTGGGTGGGGCAGATGGGGTGCCTGCCTGCCCATCCTTATACTTCTCCCATTCCCCCCAGCTTGTTTTGGCCCCTGTGCCCGCTGCTCAGGACCTGAGGAATCGAACTGTTTACAGTGCAAGAAGGGCTGGGCTCTGCACCACCTCAAGTGTGTAGGTGAGTGGGGCCCTGCCCTAGGACCAGGGAGGTGAACAGGGGCCTAGGCTTGGTTGCCCATCAACACACACTTTTCTGGGCAAGACCAACAAATCCCCATCTTCATGAAGATATCAGGCTGGTTGGAAAGGCAGAAAGGTAACCAGGCACTTACAGTAGAGACTGATCTTTCTATAGGGAGAGTTGTCCCTGATCCAGCTTGGTGGTGGTGGTCAATCAGGAGACTTCTTGGAGGAGGTTTCACGTAGGCCAAGTGTTGAAAATGGAGGAAGGGTAAGCCAGAGGAATAAGGAAACTGAACTTGGGGTCAGGAAGTGTTGGTTCGAGACTTGGTTTGTCCCTTGCCTAGCTATTTATATAGATGAGGGTAAGGGTTACACTGCTGTAACAAAAAGATCCCCAAAGACTGCCTTACAGAATATAGAGGTTTATTTTTATCTCATACCACAGTCTCAAAGCAAGTGGTCAAGGTTTCCAGGGAAGCTGCAGACCCAGACTCATTCAAAGACCCAGATTCCTGTTGTACTATGCAGTCATCCCCTTGGGTGCTCTCTTTGTGGCTCAGGCTGGGTCATGGTCACCTCCATGATCTGTGGCCCCAGCACTCAGGAAGGGAGAAAGGGAGGAAAGTGCATGGACGAGTCCAAGTCCGTTGTTTTAAGGCCAGGCTGAACGTGGAGCACATCACTTCTGTTTACATCTTCTTGGCCAGATCTCAATCACAAGGCTACACTTCCAAGCTGCAAGGCAGACTGGAAAACATAGTCTGTAGCTGGGCAGCCTAGAGTCTGACTGCACCTCTGCATCTGAGGTGGTGGACAGCCTGCAGTCTCTGCCACTCCATTTAAGCCTGGCCAAGTCCATTCTCCAAAAATGCTGGCCTCAAGCTTCCCTGTTAGTAAAATAGGGATTGAAATCCCCACCCTGGCGTCCTCTCTGCAGACATTGACGAGTGTGGCACAGAGCGAGCCAACTGTGGAGCTAACCAGTTCTGCGTGAACACGGAGGGCTCCTACGAGTGCCGAGGTAATTGTTTCCCCCTGAAGGGAGGGTGGGAGGAGCTGCTTCATGCTTGTCCCCCAAAACTTCTGCCTTCTCAGGTGCCAGAACCACTCCAAGCCTCTTCTGGAGCAGGGCTTTCTCCGCTGGGTGGAGGGCCGCTCTCACCCCTGTCTCTCTCCCTTCTCCAGACTGTGCCAAGGCCTGCCTGGGCTGCATGGGGGCAGGGCCAGGCCGCTGTAAGAAGTGTAGCCTTGGCTACCAGCAGGTGGGCTCCAAGTGTCTCGGTGAGTCTCCTGTCAATGGGCACAGGCACCTTGGAGGCCTTGGCCACCATGAATTAAGAAGGGCCAGAATGTGTACAGGGCAGCGAAAGGATGGGTAGAATGTTGCCTGGGTGAGGGGAATGTCAGGATGTGCTGCATGTGGGACCCCAGCAGTCAGGGCTCCCGACCTTGGCTCTCCTCCAGATGTGGATGAGTGTGACACAGAGGTGTGTCCAGGAGAGAACGAGAAGTGTGAGAACACCGAGGGCAGTTATCACTGCATCTGCGCCGAAGGCTACAAGCAGATCGAGGGCATCTGTGTGAAGGAGCAGATCCCAGGTGAGCCCCATACTGGTCCCCCGACACCTGAGGAGGGGTGGTCCTCATCCAAAGGGAGGACAGGCAGGCCCCTTCCAGGCAGCTTCAGGTCCTGCCCCACCCCCCACTGCCACCCAGACCCCATGAGGCTGCAATGAGACCCAAACCCTACATCTGATCTCCAGGCTGGCTTTTGGTAGCCTCACACCTACCAGAGCAGAAGGAAAATCGGACTTGTGTCAAATCACTCTACCTCCCCAAACCTCTTTCCTCACCTGTCCAATGGGATCAGTCCTTGCCCCCGGCCACCAAGAGCTATTATAGGCCATGGTATGCTGAGATGAGGGACAGTCACAATGACGATGATAGCGACCACTTCCACAGCTTTGTGTGTCAGCTGCTGTTCCAAGTATGTAACACATGTGAACTTCTTTCACCCCTAGAACAAATCCAGTGCTATAGGTATTCTCATCCCCATTTGAAATAGTGGAAACTGGGATCAAAATGAAGAGGCAACTTGCGCAGAGCCACGTGGCAGGCAGGTTGCAGAGCTGAGTGTCCAGTCCAGGCAGTCTGGCTCTGGAACTGGGCTTATACACATGCTGTGTGTCCCAACGTGCCCACCATGTGGCCTTGGCCTTGGACAAACCTCCTCACCTCTGTGAGCCCCAGCTTCCCATTTATTGAGACAGGGCTAACAACTGTAGCCCTCAGAGTTGTCCTCAGCAGTAAGTGACATTGTGTGATGGCTTGTTGGGCAGGGATGAGGCAGTGAAGATGAGGAGTGGGGAGGAATGACAGGGTCCTCTGGCTCCTCAGAGTCAGCGGGCTTCTTCTCGGAGATGACAGAGGACGAGCTGGTGGTGCTGCAGCAGATGTTCTTCGGCGTCATCATCTGCGCGCTGGCCACACTGGCCGCCAAGGGCGACTTGGTCTTCACTGCCATCTTCATTGGGGCTGTCGCAGCCATGACTGGCTATTGGTTGTCAGAGCGCAGCGACCGTGTGCTGGAGGGCTTCATCAAGGGCAGATAATCCCTGCCACACTGGCAGGATCTCCACCCAGGCTGCCCCCAGAGGTCGGACCTTTCTCCTGCCTGGACTTGTGAAGCAGCTTGCTTTGTTTGGTGAGAGTGGGGTAAGCAGCCACACTCCCCAAGTCTGGGCGGTTAGGCTCCTGGGGTGAAAAGGTAGCCCTTAAGGTGGATGCCATGAGATGGCCTGGGAGACTGCACAGGCTTCACAATGTGTGTGAATTTTTAAGACAAGTGTCTCCTCGTGGTGGCTGCTAGTGAGCTTTGGCCCCTGCCCAGGATGGGGGGGTGTTGTCTCTGCAGGGGTGGCCCATCACAGTCCACTCCTGCCAGCTGCATGCTGCCAGCTCCTGTTCAATACTCACTCCTGCCCCTCAGCCACTGATTTATTTATTTATCTCAGGAAATAAAGAAAGGTCTTGGAAAATAGAGATGCATGTCTTACTGCCTGACTTCCCCCCTGTGATTTGGCCTAAGCTACTGAGAGCACTTCCCCACCCCCAGGCCTTGGGGAAGTTTTGTAAAACCCTGAGAAATTGAGGGCCACCCTGATAAAGGAGTTGTGGAGAGAGGACAGAGGAGAGGCTGCCCCTAAAGTAGTGTTACAAGAGGAATGGAGGACCCAGGCTTGGGAGTAGAACTCTCTCCGTTTAAGACTAGCTATCATTTGCTGAAAGACCCTGGACAAATGACTTCCATCCCTTAATTCCACTCTTCTATAAAATAGGCGTGATAATGCTTTCCATTCAGGCTTAATACGAGAATTAAATAAGATGAACGTGAAGAGCTGAAGATAATGCACAACAAATAGTAGATGTTCCGTAAAATATTGGTAACTGTTATTTCTAAAGCCTCCAAGGAAGGGTCCAGGGCCCTTTCCTTTGTAAGTCCTCCCCTCTCATAAGCAGGACTTGGAATTACTACTAGGAGTGAGGCCTCCTACATCTCCTCTGAAGAAGATTCTGGCATGGCCAGAGGGAGGCATGAGCCACCAAGTCCTAAGGGTTTATTTCTTTGGCACAAAGAGGACAGTCATTCTGGACAAGCAAGCCTTATTTCTCCACACTGCGGGGTCTGGAAGGGTGTTTGGGGCACTTGGGCCCCAATCTGCCTACCCAAATTCGTGTATGTCCACCCTGTGTTCCGCATAGGTCACGGCCTTTGTGTAAAATACCCGCTGAGAAAAATAGAGATATTTTAAAAAGAAAAACGGAGAGCTGGGTTCAAGCCTGGCTGTCTCCTGGAGCTGCAGTCAGGTGGAGGCCCGGGAATGCCAGTTGTTCTTTCAAATGTTCAACCGTCGCAGTTGGCCATGCTGTACAGCCGTTGGGGGCGAGTCCTGGGGTCTGTGTGATGGACCTCTCAGAGCTCGATAGTGTCACTGGAGGCGCTGCGGGAGTCCCCGGGCTTGCAGCGAGGCTGGACTTCATTCTGAGATTCCCCAGGCTGGGTAGGAGCAGGGACAGGGTCCGGGGCAGGCAGAAGCTGCACTGTGCTGGGCAGCTCGTCTAGGGGCAGACTGTCCACCGACGACAGCCCGTGCCGCCACGGGTTCCAACTGATTTTGAGAGAGCCCCGGGAGAAGCTGTCCACGGAGCTGCCGGAAGCCATGGCGTCAGGTTCTACTACGTGTTGTGGAACGGACCCGCGCACGCGCACGTCGCTGAGCGAGCGGCAGCGGCCGCGGGGGAGCAAATAGCCCGCACCGTCGAGCTCGGCGTCAGGGTGGCTGCCCCGGCGCGGCCGCACTGCGCCCCCAGGCGGTGGGGAGGCTAGGCCGCTTAGGCCGCAGCGCCGGAACACGCTGTCTCGCACCAGGTGCTCTCGGAACAGCGCGGCGTCGATGCTGCGGCTCAAGTTGATGGGTGATGGAGGCCTTAGGTCCAGCTCGCTCACTGACGGCGCCGGCCCCACGCTGCTGCGGGACAGGCCTGGACCACCCTGAGGACCGTGGCCCAGCGACGCAGCTGAGCCCCAGGCGCCTGAACTGGGGGTGGCAGGCAGCCCACACTCCGCCGGGTTGCGGATGAGGCTCTTGCTGATGTCCAAAGTGCCTGTGCCGACGCCACTAGGCCCCGCATAGCAGTTGTTGGATCGTTCGGGCACCTCGCTCTTGCTTGAGGGCGTGGGGCACGCCAGGCGCAGCAGCTTAGCCCAGCAAGCGTGCTCCGTGGGCGGCCTGGGCCGCGCGGCGGCCACAGCGGCCAGCGCCATGGTGAGCGCCCATGTTAACTCCAGCAGGCGCAGCCAGAAGTGGACGCCCCACCAGGCCCAAGAGAAGCGTCCCACGCGGCCTGGGCCCGGGTACAGCCAGAGCGCGGCCGCCAACTGCAAGCCACTAGCAAGCAGCCCTAGGGCGCCCGCCACAGCCAGCAGCCGCGGGCCAGGGTTGCTATCCCAGCCCCGCGGCCCGTCCAGCAGACGGCGACGGCACAGGCAGAGCGTACCCAGAGCCACGGCGGCGCCCCAGGCGCACGACAAGCCCTGAGCCAGGAGGTTGAACACCGGCCTCACAGACAGCAGGTCTGTAGCTAACAACCCCACACCTTGTATCAGCGCCAACGCTCCCAGCAGGAGCGGGTTCTGCAGCTGCTGTGGCAGCCCCGAGCCCAGGCCGAGGAGGGTCAGGGCCGCCAGAGCGGTTAGCAGTAAGGGGAAAGGCAGGTTGTAGAGCACTAGGCCGGCGCGTAAGCCCAGCCGTGCCTGTGAGCCGTAGGGGTCCGCGAGCATGTAGGCAGATCGCAGCCCCGACGCTACGAGCACCAGCACTCCCGCCACCAGTGCCAGTCCGGGCCCCGCAGGGGCGGCTGCCAGCGAGGCCAGTGCCAACAACGCGGGCAGCAGGAAGAGCACCCCCACCCCGTAGACGTGCAGCTCCCAGGAAAAGCTCAGCACCCGCCGCAGGGGACCCCACAGTAGGGGAGGTGTGGTGGCATTGGCTGGAGGGCTGGAGGCTGGGGCTGATGCCATGGAGCTGGCTGAGGGCTCCGGAGGGGGTGGTTGGCCCAGGGCGCGCTGCGTAGTGACCCGAATGAGGCCCCGGCGTGATGTCGAGGGGGCCTGGACTGGGGGTGCTGGGGGATGACTTTGGGGGCGCCCCGGCCACTCCTCGGCTTCATCTGCAATAATAACAATATTAAAATAGCCCTTTTAAGGGTGCTTTTGATTTTCCATCATTCTCTAGTGTGGTTGGCAAGTTATTTAACTTTTCCAAGCACGTTTGTAAAATGGAATGGTAACAGTGCCTACCTCACTGGGCTATGCTGAGGATTAAATGGTTAGTTAGCATCGTGCCCACCACCCAGTAAGTGTTAAATGGATGTGAGCTATCATTTTTATTAATAATATAGCAAAAGTTCTTGACAAGGGACTCATATGAAACTCACCTGCAGACCAACTGAATTCCTTAGGATGAGAATGGGCATTGCAATTTTTAAAAAAGCTCTTTTGGTGATTTGCAAGAGTTGGAGAAATTGCACTAACTATACCCATGTTACATTTAAGAACATTCTATCTCCAAAAGGGCAAATAACTTCTCCCAGAGTACCCAGTGAGCATTCATTTATTATCCTAAGTTGTTTGAAGGAGGTCCTGGACAATTCCTTTAAGGAGATGTTTGTCCCCACCTACTCCCCAAACCCTCATATGTAACTCACACAGGTTCTCCGTTATTTTTAGAGTACCCTCTCTCCCCAACCCCCCAGCCATGCCCTCACCTGGCTGCAGGGCCCCCACAGGGCTTTCTGTTTGGTTTGTAGCTGGCTCAGCATCCGACAGGCCTGGGATGAGGGACTTGGGGGTACCTGGGGCCTCCAGTGCCCCTCTCACCCGCTGAGGGGAGATGGGGTCTGCTCCATTCATGGCTGCTGTCTCTGAAAGAACAAGAGCAGTCATCACTTTGCGTGACCCTCCATTGGTCCCTGAAATCTAAACCCCTAAGAGGGAGGTACAGTCACCCTCATTTGCCAAAATGAGAAAACTGGGACCTAGAGAGACCAGAGGTCACACAGAAACTGGGGCATCCAGCTGCCCTGGAACACTGGTCTCTCCCAGCCTTTCTTGGCACCTTCATTTTGATACCCACCTGGCTTAAGCTGCCCATCAGGAGTTTCTGAAGCTGGGGTACCTGAGGGCTGGGGTCCTGGTGAGCCCCTAACATCAGGGAGGTCAGCCTGCTTGGGTGAGGGGCTTGGAAAACTGACTTCCCACATCTCTCCGCCTCCATCCTTCTTAGGGAGCTCAACTGGCAGCTCCTCAGCAGGAGGAAGGCTCCTGGCCAATGCCAGGTCAGGCTGGGACCCAGGTTCCTGAGAGGATGCCACATCAACCGGGGATACCGAGCCAACATCAGGGGCTGCTGCATCCTGCTGGGTAAAGAAGGAGTCTTGAGCTGCCTCCTGGATGTCCTCCTCACCCCCACCCTGTTCTTCCAGTTCTGGCCTCCTGATGGTGCCCGAGTTGGGCACAAGAGTGTGGGGAAGGCCCCGGTGGTCCAAGGAGGATGTTTCTGAGACCCTGGTCTTGGCTTCAACCACCAGATCCTCCTCTTTAGGTGGCTGCTGTTCCACTTGGCTTCCAGGCTCCCCTGGAGAGGGAGGAACTGTGGCCACCCCAAGTTGGAGTCTGGGAGTTGGGATGAAAGTGAGATGAGGGGGGCCCACTGGATGGGGGGCTGGTGCTTCTTGCTCCATGGGCTCCTGTGAGTCAGGAGGGCCTGTCCAGCCCTGAGAACTTGGCGCTCGAGCCATCTGGAGGTCATCAGCTACTGGGAGTCCTCTCTGAGCCCCATGGGCTGCTCGAGGCCCATGCAGGGCTGGACCAAAGGGAGAATCTGCAGGCCTCTCCAGCACATCCTTCTCAGGGCCACGGGGGACATTGGAGTTCCAGGGGCTCTCATCTTTGGGCTTCTCCCAGAGGAAGTCGAAGTCCTGGGGTTCTGTGCCAACGGGGCCTTTGGGGTGGGCTCCTGGGCTCACATGCGTTTCCAAGTCCTCAAGTGGCCTGGGAAGGCCCCGGCCCAGTGCAGGGCCAGCCCCCAAGGATGGAAGCAGCAACAGCAGCATGAGGTCACGTACACAGCCCCATGGGTAGGGGGCCATGGTCCACCCTGATGCCTGGGCCTAGAGCCCTCAACTCCTCACTGGATGAGCCTGAGAAAAAGAGAGAAGGGGGTAATATGAGGACTCGGGATTCCCATGGCTGCCCGAGGGGCTGGTGGGAAACAAAAAAGAGCAACATGAGCAGCTCCCTGCTCCCTGGCCCTTCACACCCAGTCCCTTCATGCTGCCCAGAGTGACCCTTTAAACTGCATATCTGGTCACACCACTTGCCCTGCTTGAAAACCTTCAACGGTCGGCCCCCTGTCACCCTCAGGAGAGAACATAAGCTCCTCTGCTGGCCTCCCATGGCCACACCAGGCTGCTCAACTATCCTTCAACACCCACTGGACTGTAGGATGCCCCATACCTTTGCTCTTGCTGTTCCTTCAGCCTGGAATGCCCTCTCCCTTCTTCACGTGCTTGAAGTCCAGGCTCAAATATCAGAGAGGGGGAGAGGTTGAGGAACATGCCTCTTCCTTTGAGAAGGAACCTGGGTTGGAATCTCAGCTTCCCCACTTCCTGAGTGAGTTACTTTACCTCTTTCCATCATGTTTTTTCCTAGTAAAATGGGTATAATAAGAGTAGCTAACTTGAATGGGCTTATCAAGGGGCTTAATAAGACTTAGAGCCCTTTTACTTTTACTTTTCTCCAGAAAGCTCTCTTTCCCAACAGCTCCCTTAACTACTTTGGCAAATAATTGAGCTTATTCTATGTTTCAACCCTGAGGATAAAGCAGTGAACAAGATCAACAAGATTTCTACCCTGATGGGGCTGGCATTCTAGGTAAGAGATAGACAATGAATAAATAATTTTAAATAAGGTGAGCTATGAAGAAAATAAAATAGGGTTAAGAGAGAGAGGTTGGGGGGTTATTTTATACAAGGGATGCCAAGAAGGCATCTCTAGGTGACACTGAAGCTAAATGCTGAGTGAGAAGAAGGAGCCAGTCATTTAAAGGTATGGGGGAAAAGTCTTTGGCAGAGGGAACAGAAGGTGCAAAGGCCCTGAAGCAGGAATGAACTGGGTGAGTTTAGGAAATAAGAAGGCTAGTGTGGCAACAGCAAATCGCCAAAGTAGCAGGAGATGAAATTAGGAAGGCAGGGTTAGATCACAAGGGCCCTTGTAAGCCTCAGTAAGGCACCTAGATTTTATTCTAGGTGTCACAAGAAACAAATGGAGATATTAAGCCTGGAAGTGACAAGGTCTGAATAGTGTTTTAAAAGGGGGAGGGACTCCACGTGCTAATTATCAGGGGAATGCAAATTAAAACCACAGTGAAGAATCACCTCACACCAGTCAGATGGCCACTATCAAAAAGACAAGAAATAACAAGTGCTGGCGAGGATGTGGAGAAAAGGGAATCCTCATGCACTGTTGGTGGAAATGTAAATTGATGCAGCCCCTGTGGAAAAATTCCCCAATAAACTAAAAATAGAAAAAATACTGTAGGACCCAATAATTCCACTTCTAGGAATTTACCCAAAGAAAACAAAATCCCTGATTTGAAAATACACATGCACCCCTATATTTATTGCCACATTATTTACAAAGGCCAAGTTATGGAAGCAACCTAAATGTCCATCAACAGATGAATGGATAAAGAAGATGAAGTACAGATACACAATGGAGTATTACTCAGCGATAAAAAAGAAAGAAATCTTGCCATTTGCAACAACATAGATGGACTTAGAGGGTATTGTGCTAAATTAAATAAGTCAGGTAGAGAAGGACAAATACCATCTGACTTCACTTATTTGTGGAATCTGAAAACAAAACAAAATGAACAAAATAGCAGTAGACTCATAGATGCTGAGAAGTGACTGGTGGTTACCATGGGGGAGAGTTTGCCGTAGGCCAGTGGACAGGGTGAGGGTAATAAAGGAGCACAGAAATTTTCAATCATAATATAAGTTGGACACAGGGATGGTAGTACAGCATGGAGAATATAGCCAATGATTCTGTAACATCTTCCTATGTTGTCAGATAGTAACTGCACTAGTTGAGGTGAAGAATTAATAATGTGGATAATGTTGAACCATTGTGTACCTGAAACTAATATAAGATTGTATACTAACAATACTTCAATTAAAGAAATAAATAAAAAAATACAAGTGGGAGAGAGAGCAGTACAGAAATCCAGGTAAGATATGATGGTGGCTGGTTTCAGCTTAGACATTTCTTCCCCTGACACCTCCTCCACCCCTTCCCGTCACCCTGGTCACATAGTGTAATAATTGCCTGACTCCCCTACTCGCCTGGGGCTTGTCAAGGGCTGTATCTGCATTTTTCATTTCTTGTTTCCTCTCCCTGCCCATATGTCTGGCCCCAGGTAATATTCCCTAAAGGTCCCTCTTCCTGAGGGTCCATGGCTGAGTCAGGGAGGCAGGAAGGGACCCCCACCTCTAGTTAGGGGGGACAGCATCTGTGAGAGGTGAGGCCTGGTGTATTTAGGGGCAGAGGTCCTGTTCCTTTCCTCTCTAGGAAGCAGCTGTGCCCAAAGCCTCCCAGCTCCTAACCTTTGGTGGCTCACAGACACCTTGAGAAGCCAATGAAACCCCCAGACACTCTCCCTAGGAAAATGCCCAGCTTCACCAAAGGTTAGTAGACAATTTCAGGGGGTTCAAAGACCCCCCTTAAGCCCATCCCCCAAAATGGGTTTGGACTCTGTCTTAAAGCCTTGTTAGTTCACTTCTCATTAACTGAGCCCCATACTCTGTTCCTGGCCCAGGCTAGGTGCTGGGGACCCATAAAGAAGACTTATTTTTGCAGTGTTGGGATGGGGTGGGGGTGGGGGGCGGTGGTGGGGCGTGAGCTAAGGAGGAAGGACTGAAAGGCCGTTAACACAGGTACTGTTTAGTAACAGTGCTCCTGTGATGAGCTCTTACCCAGTTAGGCTCCTGTGATGAGCTAACAGCCTGTCCTGCGTCTCATTCATCCCCCGCAACACAAAGTGGTATGGGTATACCCACTTCACAGGGAAAGAAACCGAGGTTCAGAAAGGTTGAGCAAAGCACCCAAGGTCACACAGCCAGCGAATGGCCATACTAGGGGTCGTGAAACCCGCAGTGGCTCATTTTGCACAGCGGTGTCGGAAAAGCTTCGCTGCTAAGGAGGTGGGTTGGGCCTTCAACGATTAAGCAAGCGTATGCCATCTGCTCACCACCCCCAATTTTAAGAGATGCAGTCATCGGCGGACAAGGAGGGGGCTGCCCATCCCTGGGTTCTGGCTGCTGGATTTTTGGGGGAAGGTGGTGGTGGGTGTTATCTCCCTTCCCATATGGACTGAGGAGAGGCCGGCCCGGGGGCAGAGCGAGGGCCGCCACAGGGCAGCCTCCATAAGCAGGTCCTTCTCGGGTTACCTCTCCTGCTCCGACTCCTGACTCCTCTCTCCTGGCTGTGCGCCTTCCCGCAGTGTCCCGGGTGGGGGTTGGCGCTGCTGCAGGTCTCGCTGCTCAAGCCCGAAAGGGGGCCTGCAGGCCATGCTCCCCGCCTGGGCCCCACCATCACCCCCTCCTTCTGGCCAGCTCCTCACCTGGGCGCTGCGCCGGCAGCCCCCGCATTCACCTTGCGCGCGTCTCTGCAGCCTCTCTCCACGCCGCGTCCTCCGAGATGCTCAGGCTCAACTAACAGAGCCCGGCGCTGCCGATCGTGGAGCCCGCCCACACCACAGGAGCTCCATCCCTGCTTAACCCTTTCCCTTTGGGGTGGATCCTTCTCCCAGTCCTGACCTCCCCTCTCCGAGGTTCTCAGGGCTAAGAGGGGCACCGAGGTCACCTCCGAGGGATGTGGAAATCCCTTCCGAAGCATCCCTGTAAAAGGGGCAGCCAGTCTGTTTGCATACCTCATGGGACAGGGAGCTCACTTCCTTTATAGCTACATGCCTATTTTTACAGGGATACATCCAAACATGTATGTACATACCTATAGGTAAATCGTATGCACAGCTTGATGTGTATGTATCCTCTAGATCTTTTTCAATACACAGCCATATATACGATTTAAAACGAAATAGCATACTGTACACACTGCTCTGTCACCTGCTTGTTTTCCCTTTACTCTGCAGTATATCTTGGCACACTGTCCATGTAAATTTCTACAGAACCATCTTGTTTCTTGTAACCACTGTTGAGAATTAAGTGTATGGTTTATCCCTTCAGTCTCTGAGGCTGGACATGTAGGTCGTTTCTAGCCTTTTGCTAGCAGGCACAACAAGGCAGGGCAATTCTTGCATAGACATCTTTGTGCACATGCCTTGTGTACCTATCAGATAATCTCCTACCTGAGGCATAGCTAGATCTAGGGGTATATATATTTTCAGGTCCGATAGACACTGCCAAAATGCTCCTGATCTCTCTTTGGTCAGCTCCTGACATACTACCTGTCCATCATTAGGTTCAATACTTTAAGAGAGAGCCACACAAGGAATGTATGTGGTCATTAAATATGATGTAAAATCGTTAATGGCATGGAGGAATTTCCAGGGTAGATTGTTGCTTATTTATTTAAATTTCAGTCATTTGAATTATAAAGATGATATATGCTGATTGTACCAATTAAAGCAGCAAATGTTCAAAGGGCACACTGTCCTACCCATGGCCTCTCCAACTCTGCCCCTCACATTTGCCACTCTTAACACCATACTGTTTCCTTTGCTTATAAAAACATATATATGCATACTTTTCTTTTTAAAAAATGAGATTATGCTATGCATATTATTCTACAGCTTTGTTTTGCCTTAAGCAATATGTATTGGAAACATTTTGAAGGCAGTAACATTAGCTCCACTTTCTTTCGACTGGCTACACAGATTGCATGGTGTGGATGCACTGTCATATACTCAGTCCCAGTATTCCCCTACTAATCAGGTGTTTTACAGGGTTTTTTTCTGCAAGAAACAATAATACCATAAACATCTTTACATACCAATACATACATCTTTACATGCTGATATTCTAAATTCTCTCAGATAATCATTTGTATGATCCGTCTTTGTTAATACCTGTCTGTCTGTCTGTCCATCCATCCATCCATCCATCTGGCCTACCCCCAAATATTAGAAGGTGAATAACAGTTGATGTGATTTTTATCTAATTTTGCTTTTCTGTTTACCAATATTCTACACAACCATATATTTCTTTTGAAATCAGAGGTAAAAGTTATAAATATATAAAATATCACCTCAAAAAGGAAGAAAGTTTTTCTTTGGGTAGGGGGCTGAAATCCCTCTCCCACTGTTTTCCTACCTCTGGCAGGCATAGAAAAACAATATTCAGCACTCAGTTGAGTTTTGACATGCTGCAGTTTGAAGAGTGTTTAACCTCTAATAGCTGGTAAATGGTGGAGTCTGAATCCAGCTTTTCTGACTCTGGAGAGGGTTCAGGCTTTTCCTGTTTCACCATATCATCTGATCAGCTCTGCTGTTATCCTTGTGGGAACCCCTTCAGAATCCAGTAAAAGTATCTCTCATTTCTCTAGAATCTTCTCCCTGTTCTTTCAGCCTTTTCTCTTAAGATAGGATTCTGGACTCTCACCATTGTGACATTTCTCCTCTGTTTGCTTCTTACAAGATCAACAGTGTCCTCTTTAATGTATGACTCTTAGAACTGAACCCAGTTCGGAACAAAGCTGAACATTCACCGCCCCTTTCCTGGATTAAACTCCTCCATTAATATGGCCTCATACTGAATTAATGTTTCTGGCAACCATATCACTTTTTTGCCCATTATTAATCTACTAGGCCTTCCTCATCTCTTCATATGCAGCTGGTTTCCTGACCCTCAGTGTAGGATTCTAGGTTTGTTTATTTTATCTTATTAGAGCTAATCAGCTGTTCTGACCTTGTGGGAAGGTACCTGGATCCTGCTGGATCCTGGTACTATATATAAAAGATGATTGGTATGTTTTGACATTGTCCAAGATCCGTTTCTCTTCCTGACAGCATTTGGGGGACCTATCTTTTGCCCCCTGGGCAGTTTTGGTGGGAGGACAGTTCTAGGGGCACAATACAGAAGCTGAGGGGTCCAGATCCCTCTTCCCATTACCTCCGTGAATTCTCTGGTAAGCCTCCTCTGGAGATGTCAAGATTCTCTCAACAGGCTCAGAGCTGGTTTGGTTCCCTTCCTCAGTTCCCCTTGAGGAGGGCAGTGTGTGTACCAGGACCAGCCGTTTATTCTCCTGCAAAGTTTCACTGGCTTGACAATGTCCAACCCCAAGTCCATGCAGGATTTCTGGCTGCTCCCTGGCTGTCCCCACCTTTTTTGAATTGAAGTATAGTTGATATACAACATCATATTGTTTTCAGGTGTACAGCATAGTGATTCCACAATTATCTTACATCATGAAGTGCTCACTGAAAAATGTAGTTATCATCTGTCTCCATACAAAGATATTACAAAATTATTTTTATTTCCTATGGTGTGCTTTTCATCCCCGTGACTTACTTATTTTGTAACTGAAGTTTGTACCTCTAGATTCCCTTCACCTATTTTGCCCATCCCCAACCCCCAGGGCAACCACCAGTTTGTTCTCTGTATTTTTTAGTCTATTTCTGTTTTATTTTTTTAGATTCTACATATGAATTAAATAACATAGTATTTGTCTCTGTCTGACTTATTTCATTTAGCATAATACCCTAGGGTTCATCCATGTTGTCACAAATGGCAAGATTTCATTCTTTTTTTATGGCTGAATAATATTCCAGTGTATATAGGTATCACATCTTCTTTATCCATTCATTTATTGCTTTTGTATCTTGGCTATTTTAAATAATACTGCAGTGAAATAGGGGTGCACATATTTTTCTGAATTAGTGATTTTTTTCTTTGGGTAGCTACCCAGAAGTGGAATCACTAGGTCATATGATGTTTCTATTTTTAGTTTTTTGAGGAACCTCCATACTGTTTTTCATAGTGGCCATACCAGTTTATCCCCATCAACAGTGCACAAGGGTTCTCTTTTCCCACACCCTCTCCAACACTTGTTACTTCTTGTCTTTTTGATATTAGCCATTCTGACTTGTGTGAGGTGGTATCTCATTGTGGCTTTGATTTGCATTTCCCTGATAATTAGTGAGGTGTGGAGCATTTTTTCACATACCTTTTGCCCATCTGTATGTCTTCTTTGAAAAAATGTCTCTTCAGGTCCTCTGCTCATTTTTCTTTTTTTCCAGTCAATGAAAGGGAAATTTTACTGAGGTCCCAGGGAGTGTGGGCAAGGGCAGGAGGCCACCCTGCAGGCAAAGGAAGAGCAGGTGAAGGGGCCTTATTTGACCTTATTTTAGCGCTTGCCACAGATCATCTTGTTGCAGCTGTATTTCTGGACAAGCTGGTGGAGGGAAGGCTCTATGAGGCTGCCCTACAGGTGAAGCACCAACTGCAGGGTGTACCCTTGCTGGGTATTGTCATCTGAGAAAGTGCGGCCATCCTCCAGCTTTTTGCCTGCAAAAGTCAGATACTGCAAGTCAGGCGGGATACTTTCCTTGTCTTGGATTTTGGCTTTTCCATTCTCAGTGGTGTCTCACTGGGCTCGACCTTGAGGGTGATGGTCTTGCACCCGAGGGTCTTCACAAATGTCTGCCTCACTGCATCTACAGCTTGGCTGCCTTGCTGAAGAGAAAGAGGGTGGCAGAACCCCTGTCCATTGTTCAATCAGGTTATTTTTTTGGTGTTGAGTTGTATGAATTCTTTATACATTTTGGATATTAACCACTTAATGGATATATCCTTTGCAAATATTCTCCCATACAGTAGGTGGCCTTTTTGTTTTGTTGATGGTTTCCTTTGCTCTGCCAAAGTTTTTTTGGTTTGGTGTGGTCTCACTTGTTTATTTTTGTTTCCGTTGCCTGGGGAGACTATCCAGAAAAACAAATTGCTAATGCAGATATTCAAGAGTGTACTGCTTATGTTTTCGTTTAGGAATTTGTGGTTTCAGGTCTTATGTTTCAGTCTTTAATCCATTTCCAGGTTATTTTACACTGTGTAAGACAGTGGTCCGCTTTCATTCTTTTGCATGTAGCTGTCCTGGGTGCCCTTTTTGGAGGCAGGACCCCCAACACCATTGTGTTTCCAAACCACTGATTGGTAGGAGTCTTGAGATTCCAGACAAAGGCAAGAGAGATTATGATCCCTTTGGCCAGAGACCAAGACGAAAGCGATCCTATGGAAAAAGGAGTGTGGCTGTGTGGAGGTGAATGTAAGTGGGGTGACACGTATAGGTGGGGAGGAGCCTCACTCTGACAGGAGCTCCTAACGTCACCCTGGAGACTTGGGGATGGCCAGGGGATGATTCAAGTATATGGGGGTGGTCAATAGCTCCATTTATCAA